TTTAAACTCCTCCTCAAAGGGCTTTGGCATTCTTCAGCACTTGCTGTTGATAATGCTGAACTCCGGGGTATCGACTTGTTTCAGGGCAACGGCCAGAGCGGGTGATGGGTATGGTTATGGGGACCCCCCTGATGGCCAGGGAAGACGGAGAAGTTAATGGGGCCCTCGAGGTCATACATGGTTTCCCTTCCGGTCTTAGGGTCAACACTTCTTACACCCTTGCGGAAGAAGATCATAGCTCCTCTAGGGCCGCGGAGAGACTTGTGGGTAGTAGTAGTGACCACATCAGCATACTCGAATGGAGATGGGATGACGCCGGCAGCAATGAGGCCAGAAATGTGAGCCATGTCAACAATCAGGTAGGCACCGACGGAATCAGCGATCTCCCGCATCTTCTTATAATCGATCAAGCGACAGTAGGCAGAGGTACCCGCAACAAGACACTTTGGGCGGTAAAGCTTGGCATTTTTAGCAAGGGTCTCATAATCGATGATGCCAGTCTCGAGGTCGACTTGGTATGGCAAGGTTTCAAAATATGTTGAAATAGCGGAAATCCTATTCGGGGTGAGAATTGTTAATGCCATTTATTTTAAATAGAGCGAATCATTGATATAGCTCCAGTTATACATACTTTTTCTGTGGGGTTTGATATCCGTGACTCAGATGCCCTCCGTGAGGAAGATCCAAGCCCATCAGTCTGTCGTGTGGTCTCATCAAAGCTTGATAGACTTCCAGATTTGCAGGGCTTCCGCTCAAGCACTGAACATTGACACCCCACCTGGCTGGATCCAGATTGAAGGCCTTGAGAGCTCTTGTCTGGCAAGTGAGCTCAATTGCGTCAATGTGTTGGTTGCCACCATAATATCTGGCGCCCGGGTAACCCTCGGAATATTTATTTGACATGGGAGATCCCAAAGCATCGAACACAGCGCGGGAAGTAAAGTTCTCAGAAGCGATCAGAACGACTGACTCTCGTTGGCGTTGAATCTCTTTTTTCTGTGTCGTTGGTGGGGAATTGAGTCAATAAAATGAGGGGCAACAAGGTTGTTTTGGTGAATGGTAAAGATCATGGAGATCAGCAGAAAATGAACTGAAATTGTTACATACCATAATCTCAGCAACCTCTGGATCAGACTCAGCCAGCGACTTCTCGAGTTGCTGTCCATATAGCGTGAGCTATTTGACATTCATTCCATCTGAAACATCGATAGGACGCTTACCTCTCGGTGAGACTGTGATAGAGCGTATGTCGCCATGATGTTGATAAGATCCTGGCTCTTGAATTTACCAATTCCTGGAGATATATGAATTCAGGGGTCTCTGAAGTAAAGTGGCGGGGGAATGGAAGTGGTTCGGAAGGAGGGCTGAGAAGGGTATGGAGACAGGATTTTGCTCGCTTTTGGCCAAAAAAATTATTTTTTCAAACCCCACTGACGTGATTAGGGTTTATCATGTGATCAATCCCGGCCTATATGATCAACACAGTATTGTGACAGTATGGGATAGGAATGAGTTCGCAGGAGAACAGCCTCCTCACATGTCATCATCGACTTTAAAAACATTTCCGTGAAGCTCTGGGGGATAAAAGCAGATAGGTTATTTGCATTGCTTGGCTGATTCAAAAAAAAAAAAAAAAAAAAAACAATTCAACAGGCTGACAATCATACAAGGAAGGAAATCAATTATCATGATGCAAGGGCCTGTGTTTTCCGCTTCCTTTCTTCCCTCCGTGCTCTCCGTTCCTGGCTGGTTTCGTCCCTGTGCTTCTTGCTCCGTTTGTCCCCATGTCGCTTATCCGACTTTCCCCGCGTAATTTCTGTATCTTTGGTTTCTTTCGATTTCGGAGACGGCTTCACTTCTCCATTTCTCGAATGTATCTCGGTACTGTCATCAACGGAATTGGAATGAACCCGTTTATGTTTTTTGCGTCGTTCCACCTGAAGCTCATTGCTAGGCCCTATTTCCATCGATGATTTCCTCCTCCTTTTGCCTTCCCGGTCCTGAGACAGTGGCTGAGGCATTCGGAATGAGGCCCCATCTGACTCGTCCGAGCCGGATCCAAATGTTTCGGGCTGATTGTCTGTCAAACCAATTGGTTTGTATCGCATTTTGAGATTTCTGGGCTGTTGTTGTTTCGGCTTTGTTAATTCGCTTATTGGAACAGATTGCTCCGAATATGTAGTCCCGTTTTCCAAGCTAATGATCCGCTCCAAATGAAAGGTTTGTGCGACATCCACGCGGCTTTCTGAAGTAGACATTGCCCCGTTCATCAGGAAGTAGAAGCGACTTGTTCTTCTTTGCTTCAACCTGTTCCTCCCGGAGTGGTAATTTACACCCTTGTGTGTCAATATTAGAGCCCCCCCGTA